AAGGTTGGGTACAGCCTTAAACCGACTTTAAGTTCCAGAACGTTCAGACTTAGTTTGCATAAACCTCTTGTGCAATGAACGATTGAACCTGCAATTAACATTTACCTCGCATAGGAAGATTCTACGACTTTACTTACCCATTTGCACCTTATAAAGCTGAGCAGACCTATTTTTTTCTGTTCACTTGTAGACAATTTTCGTTTGCAATGGCTCACGTTTGCCACATTCATTTAGATGCTTTTATTTTCATTTCACTTATTTTATTTCCTTTCATAATCGCCTGTATATATTTGATGTGCGACACTAAATAACCTACCAGTTGCATAGGATTCTCGTTAAATCCCTGTGAAATTTATATTACTGAAAGCATTGGAGTCTCAATAAGACTCAATATAGTAAAAGACAATTGGCAATTCGCCTTGATCATTGGTCAATCCACTCAAAATGCCGTCGTCTCCTGTACAGCATTTCTGCAATGTGCATTGGATTCTGACAGCATCACCGCGAAGGCCAAACACTATCAGAGACACAAAGGATCGAGAACATCATAGCAGTTTTTACCTAACACAGCGAGTGCACTGGATGCAACGGGTCAAGATTGTTTTAACCAAAGGACCTAAATCTTTGTTCTCGACCGCCCTCTTGCCACTGTATGCATTATCCGTAAAGCGACTCCTGTCACTGCCGAAAGCCATGCTTTGATCTTGTAAATCGCACTCGCCACCTTGATCGCAAATTGGACAGTCTAATGGGTGATTTACCAACAAAAATTCCATAACACCCTCGCGTGCCTTTTTCGTCATCGGTGAGTTGGTTTTAATTTTCATGCCCTTGTAAACGGGCATTGCGCACGAAGCCACGGGCTAAAAATGCCACGCGATTATTGTGTCTGGTCGATAACCAGTCAAGCTCCTCTTACCTTTGCAGACCGCTCCACTTCAACCAAACACATCCGACAATTTCCAGCGATCGAAAGACGTTCATGGTAGCAAAATCGAGGGATTTCCGCACCAACCAAAGAGCAAGCTTGTAATACCGTCGTCCCGGGGTCAACCAACACCTTCGTTCCATCGACGAACACTTCCACCTTCTGATTACTGGCGACTTGCGTCTGCTGTTGAACTAAATGCGACAGCTATCGTTTTGTTCAAAACAAAGGGAAAATATAATTTCAGCTAAAACACGTTCGCCAAGATTAAGTGAAAGATGTAAATATGGACTCATACACTATGCTACGTCAAAAACGGATTCGCCCATCCAAATTTGCACGTCACTACCAACATCAGCAAATACTGGCTCTTGATTACCTATGGGGCAGCACAACTCTACGGCATTTGAACAAAACACCCCACCATTCCCCGCATGACCGATGATGAACTGTTCTTAACTGCTGAGTAGCTGCTGGTTAAACTCCTTCAAAAAGTCAAAAACTATAGATTATGTTCATATAGATGCTTGACAGAGGAATACCGCTGACACAGGAACATTCTTGGTCAAGGCGGTATGAAAAATATAAGTGCACTTACACCTACATCAATAAATAATTTTTCTTTTGCACAGCATCATAAATATGGGTTAATAGGCAAGTATATGCATTGCTGTAGGAAACAAAATGATGCAATATACCGCTAACAGTGCGGAGGCTCAAGCGCCATGGACAAATAATTCGCTGGCATCAAATGGCGTCAGCAACTCCTTGTCGGTCAACGAATGACGTTATAAACAACGTACTTTTATATGCTTTCGTAAAGGACCACAAAATATGAATGTTACTGCTTTCTTATGTTTCCTTCAAAATGATGAGAGATAACTTTTTGCAACGCAGTACCATTTACGCTAATTCGAAACAGGATGTAATTTCTTGGCTCCAGCACAAGTTAAGTTCAATTATGTTGAATTGGATCAAAGAAATTATTACAGATTTGGTCTCGCCATCAGTTGTTGCTAATCTGAATGAGATTTGCACTCATCACAATGTCATTAAGCAACTGTACAAATAATTTATCTGGTTTCAAGAAACAAATAAATAAATTCTGCCATTACCGCAACGTGATATAATCGCTTTTTCAGGGGAATCAATGAGAGTCACTACCGAAGCTATTACTTAAGCCTTTTAATACAGTTCTCGAAAACAGAAGAAAAGGTACAGCTAAAAATCAGTTTTTTCATCAAGGTGAAAGATGAGTTATTAAATAGCATGTTATGACACTCTTGTCTTACTAGGCATGACTATATCGGCAGAATATCAAATTTCGCCATTATCAACCATAATACATTAAAACTAGATAAATCGCAATTAAAGGAATGAATCTTGAGCGCATAAAGTCTGGTCAATTTGAAATTTACGAAACACTTGAACTGTCCAACAAAGAGAAATCATTTGGATCAATTGGATCGGTCGGTGATCGATGAGCAATCGTATCGGTAACACACACATATCGTTACTTATGGTTTCGAGCCATTTTTCTCCAAGCGCGAACTTCAGGTGACCAAGCAATCCAGTTAGTCAGCGATGATACCAGTCGATAATCATCGCCCGTTGGTAACCTCAACTATATGATCAGCATACCGTAGCTTCTCTTTCTGCTTTCGACAACGACGCACCATGTTAGGAACGTGGTCGCGACATGAAATTACCGACTTTCTTCTTTCCAAGACCCTCTCAAAACATATCTTTCAGACCACGTCTCACAGGCGTACAGCACTGCCGGCATGATGGTAAAATTCAAAAGACGGGATCGAGTTTGTTTCGTGATGTCGCTGAGGAGGACATCCTTGATGAAATGGAATACACGTCTATCGATCCTCCTCTTTTTACGTATAATCTCTAAGGATTTATCATACCACATGTTGATCTCATGGTCCAAGTAAATGTATTTATCGACTTCTTCGATCTTTTCTCTATTTAACGTCATATAACCTTGGCCTTTGGCACGGCATTCGGTCACAGTATCTTATTCTTTGACAAAAGCACCTGTTTCTCCTGCATCACTTTTGAATGTGATACAGAATCGAATTCTTGCTTAGAAACGCATTCATTCGCGGATGAGTTCAGAAATGTACCCAACGTACAAATGAGCGTAGGCCCAGAAAAATGATTCCTGTGTATGATGGAAGTCTGCTCTGCCTCAGGAAGGTTCTGCCCACCCGCTTCTTCAAAGTGCAGAAATCTATAATTTTTCATTTAGTGAACACCTGATGATAAAAACAGGAGACTGATGCATGAACTTTAATTTTCATAAATTTAAGTTATTTGGTATTAAATATATTCATGAACATATGGGACTAATTTTTTAGAATTATGAATAATTAACGCACCTGAATTATGGTTTTGCATGAAATTATTTCATCCAGTTTTAAGTTTCAAAGAAACTTCTAATTATAGCTAAATTTCGAATTAAGGAGTTTTGGATTTGTCACGTTCAACATCCGGAGGTTAGCAGTACAAAAGTCGTTGCACTATGAGGAATATATTACTTTAATAAAACTGATTAAGGTGATGAATTTAGATTTGGTCATTAATGCTGTTTTGATCGTAACAAAAGTGAATTTGAAATTGTCATTAAAAACTTCTCGTGCACACAAAATAACAACAATGATTTACAAGGACGCAAAACCTCACATTCAAAATAATTAAATAAAGCTTCATAAATAATGATAAAAAGAAATATCGATTAGTTGCTTATCTGAATAACAAATACACAACTTAATTTGCTGATTGACGGCTCAATGCAAAGGATTACTAGGACCATGTGACCATGTTAAATGGTACTTCACCACCGCCCTTCTACATAATCTATTATCTATGGTACCAAATGAACTTCATGGTCATAAGATAATATCAGCGCATGGTGTCAGATAAGTGTGTGAAGGAAACATTTTTCCTACGCTAGCAGGTTGTCTGCTGCTCAAAACTATTAATCCAGGAAAGAAGTTATAAACAATTAGGCAAAAACTTTCGATGTCTCATACTGCCAATCAAGACAGCAGTGAATTACAGCATCGAGAATTGTTGAAAGAATAAATTTATGAGCCTGAGCAAGAAAACTGCTTTACCTGATTGTATAATGGGTGGCCGCCGAGAGGTTCGGAATAACGACGGAAAACGACACCATTTCATTGCTTCCCTTTAAACTAAACAGCAAATCAGAGGAGATTTATTAAACGATACTGATACAACAATATCTAAGTATAGACAAAAAAGCCAAACGATCCATCAACCATATATAAAAAGTTATATTAAAACAAAAACGGTCAGTTCTGCTGCAGACTTCTGTTTCCAACGAACCGCAGACGATGGAGAGAATATTTTGAGTAACTACTTAACCCTGAGCAACTGCAGGAGTACTCGCCTGAAGAGCAGTAAGCAACGGATATTACCATCGCTGTGAAAAGCTTGAAAAACAAAAAGGCTTCTGGAATTGCTGAAATTCGCCCTGAAATGCTCAACGCATTAGATGAACAATGAATGTGCTAGCTTACGCGTGTTTCTAAAATTGCGATGACTGCGGGAAATACACCACCAGACTATAGAACGGGAGTTACTGCACCGTATTCAAGAATGGAGACCGAAAGGAATGCTCCAATTAGAGAGGCATTACGTTGTTGAGTCTCCCAGGCACGCTACTGAAAGGTGCCAGAAAGGAGGTGCCGCGGAGTAACTGACTCCAAAATACAAGAGCAGTGTGGTGTCCGGAACGGTTGAAGCACCTCTGAGCATGTACTTGCCCTGCGCCAAATCGCTGACAAACCGTGGGTGTACGCCCGTCCGGTGTAATGTGTTTTGTTGACCTAGAAAAAGCCCATAACCGGCTCCCATGCAACAGTCTGTGGTCATGCTTTCGAGTATACGGGATAGATAACCAGCTGCTAAGGGCCATCCAATCACTGTATTCTGATAGCAGGTGCTGCGTCAGAGTAAATGACATTAAGTCGAAACCATTCAACGTTCGCACTGGTCTCCGCAAAGTGTGGGTGCTGTCTCCTATCCCGTTTGTGTTGTACATGGATAGAATGATCAGGAGCTGCCAAGGCGATGAGGGTATTGGCGTAGGAGATGTAAAGACGAGAAGGTTGGTGTTTGCTGACGACCTTGTTTTACTGGCACGTTCTGAAAATGATCTACAGCTGTTGGAAAGATTAGCAGCCAAGTGCGACGTGACCGGCATGCGTATGAACGCATCTAAAACGAAAAGCCTAGCGCTTTCTCGTTCTCCTGCCCGTTGGTCTCTTCGGATTAACGGTGAGGCAGTGGAGCAGGTGGAGACGTTCAAGTACTTCCGTGTCATATTTATTAGTTATGGAAAATTTGACGAGGTCGGCCAGCGAATTGGACTAGCTAGTGGCGTTCTGCATGAACTAGTCCCATCCTGTGCGACTAAAGCAGAGCTCAGTCTGAAAACTAAGCCCTCGGTATTCAAGCCGATCATTATCCCCATGCTTACTTACGGTCATGAATCGTGGACCATCAATGAAAAACTTCGAACCCGGGTACAAGCTGCTAAAATGGGCTTTCTTAGACGAGTCGCTGGCCTTACGTGTCTCGACATGGTCCGGAACACAGACATCCGGAAGTCTTGGTATAGAGCTTCTACTTTTCCAGATTGAGAACTCACAGGTGCAACAGTTTGAGCATGTGTTGCGAATGCCTCCAGAAAGGAAGGCTAAGCAACTCTTTCTTGCGAATCCGACAGGCAGAAGGTCCAACGGAACGGCCAAGATTAACCTGGTTCAAATATATGGAAGGAGTCTGCTCCATACTCCAGTTGTCTTCAGCTGAAACTCAAGATCTGGCATGGGATCAGGAAGGCTTGAAGCACAGTCTGTCGCGT